AGTGTGTACACATTTCAGTTTCTGAAGTTATATTCTATTAGACCAATGTTAAACATTTCAGGAACTGACAAAAGTCAGTAAAGTGAGTAGCATTCCCGTAGATACTTCAGTACGACCTACAAATGCCAGAGAGTAGAAAACAAATTATACAGAAATTCATAACTTGCAATATTAATGAATCTCTGTGTGCATTGTTCTTCAATATATGGGGAAAGTTCCCTCCAAAATGAGAGTCAAGGTGCAAAAGTTTTCACCACCAACCATGAAAAACAATTGCAGTGTTTAGTCTATTTCTCAGGATTTGGAAGGCATCATATTATACACTTGTTAGGCTGTTTTAGAACATCTCTTGATAACCTGTAAAGCCTCCAATTTTAACTTGATGCCAGGAAAGAATGGTCTTTTCACCAGCTCCAAGCAAAATCACAACTGTGCTTTATAAACTAAAGGTACTGAAGGTGTCAGAAGTTTGTGGGGCATAAAGATATATATTCAACCTCTAGCAAACCTTAATGAGAAGATAACAATATATTTCCCTTGGTTGTAGGATACAGGTCTTATTCTACTTCATTCTGGACATGAAAATTGTTATGGTGGATGAATGAACTCAAGACAACAGTATTGCTGATTATCAAATAGAATAGTTTTAAATAATCATAAATTTGAATGTGCACAGTAACATGCAATTATAAATCAGAATGTGTACATACCTGGCGTAAATAAATCTGGTGAGAATTGTAAAAATTAGAGCAGATGATCCAGCAGTCGCACTTCTTAGTATTTGGTATGATTTGGATATGAAGTGTACCACAAAAGTCCATGTCTTTTGTCCCTGGCTGTAGTTGTTTGTTATATTCTTGAAAGTTTAGCAGAAGGGATGCCACTAACACAAATAGAACACATGGGATGGTTCTTAGGAATACCTTCATTTCTCAGTCTCCTTCTCTCTGATTTCTGTCTGAAATGAAATAAATAAATAAGCTCCTCTGCTGCATGTTCCCACTCCCTTGATACCATGCCTAAATACTTAAGGTCAAATGCTTCTGGAATGAATATGAGCCAAAATAAATCTGCCTTCCTTATGTTGTTTATGTCAGAAATCTTGTCCATAATAGCACAATCCTAATACTATATTTATCTCTAAGTAACTGACAGCTTTTGGTCAGACAAAACTTTGCACAATGATGTTATAGCAGCTTTCTTCATAGTTTACAAATTGGGATAAAACAAAGATATGTTTTGATGGTGAATGGATTGATTGTAGTATACCTTGACAATAGAATGTTACTCGAGTTCCAAAAGAAGTGAGTTAATAAAGATGAAGGTCCAGACAGTACAATTAAATGAAAATTGCCAAGTCAAAGTAGTCACCATGCAAAGACTACATTTTGTGATCATAAATAAAAAAATATTCTGGAAAAAGAAAATCTATGAAGACAGTAAGAAAAAAATCTGTTTTTTAGTATTTAAGAAGACGGAGGGATGAAGAGATGGGACAAGGATTTTAAGGCTGAGAAAATATTCTATATAATAAAATCGTGGTGGATACAAATGATTATTCATGTGTTCAAATCCTACAGAATGTGAAATACCATGAACTAGCCAAATATATTCTATGGGCTTTGAATAATAATGTGGTATCAATGTAGGATCATAAATTCAATCATATATGTCATTATCAAACAGGATACTAATAGTGTGGGAAGGTGCACATGTTTAAGAAAGGGATATTTACAGGATATCTATATATTCTGCTTAATGTTCTGTGAGTATAAAACTGCTCTAAAAATAACACCTATTAAAATTGATAAGCACACATCTTGAACTGTATTGGTGTCTTACAGAACTTCTTCAAATTTACTACTTTATGAAATGAACATTAAAATGTTATGCTAATTGGATGGAAGAGAGGGTTACAAGGCCTGACACCTAGCAGAGAAGCTGTTGGCAGTTGATGGCTGTTGAAGGAGGGAGCATCAGTTTTCTTTGGGTGTGTGGCCACTGATAGGTTGCCCATGCTCCAGAGGATGGCTCTATAACCATATGTGTTACCTGGACTCAGTGGGCAATTTTTAAAAAATGAGGAAATGGAATTAGGAGGGACCATGTTGTAGGAGAGAGTCCAGGAAGAGTTAGGTGGAGGTGTTGGGGTACATATGATGAAAACAGATTGTACACATGTTTGAAATTTTCAAACAATAAATAAGTATTACTTTACAATCAGTAGAATGACATCTTAAAATGTCTGTAGAGACCAGGAAGCTAGAAAGAAGCCAGGGTGAAAAGGGGGTGTCTGGCATATATCCAAGGAATGCTCAATCATACCACATGGACACATGCTCAACTATGTTCATAGCAGCATTATTTGTAATAGCCAGAACCTGGAAACAACCTAGATGCTCCTCAATTGAAGAATGGATAAATAAAATGTGGTACATATACACAATGGAGTACTATTCAGCAGAGAAAAACAATGACACCATGAGGCAAATGGATAGAACTAAAAAAAAAAATCATGCTGAGTGAGGTAACCCAGACTCAAAAAGACAAACATGGTATGTACTCACGCATAAGTGGATATTAGATGTAAAGCAAAGGATAACCAGACTGCAATTCACAACTTCAGGGAGGCTACCTAGTAAAGAGGGCCCTAAGAAAGACACAGGGATTGCCCAACGACAGAGAAATGGATGAGATCTACATGAGCAAACTGGACGTGAGGGGGTGGTAATGAAGGGCAAGAGTCGAGGGAAAGAGAGCTTAGGGGAGCAAGAGGTCCCAGCTGAATCAGGAACAGAGTGGGAGAACAGGGAAAGAGATACCATGATAAATGAAGACCCCATGTGAATAGGAAGAAGCAGAGTGCTAGAGAAGTCCCCAGAAATCCACAAAGATACCTCCACAATAGACAACTGACAATGGTTGAGAGAAAGCCCAAGCTGACCTACTCTGGTGATCTGATGGCCAAACACCCTAACTGTCATGATAGAACTCTCATCCAGTGACCGATGGAAGCAGATGCAGAGATCCACAGCCAAGCCCCAGGAGGAGGGATTGTGTGAGCAAGAAATATTGAGACCATGATTGGAAAAAGCACAGGGACAAATAACCAAACTAGTGGAAACACATGAACTGTGAACCAATAGCTGAGGAGCCCCCATGGAATTGGATCAGGCCCTCTGGATAAGTGAGACAGTTGATTAGCTTGAACTATTTAGGAGGCCCCCAGGCAGTGGGACTGGGACCTGTCCTTAGTGCATGAGCTGGCTTTTTGGAACCTACGGCCTATGCTGAGACATTTTTCTCAGCCTTGGTGTAGAGAGGAGGGGACTGGACCTGCCTCAACTGAATCTACCAGGCTGAGCTGAATCCCCGGGGGAGACCTTGCCTTGGAGGAGGTGGGAATCAGGGGTGGATTGGTGGGGAAGGCTGAGGGGTGGGAAGAGGGAGGACAGGGGAACCTGTGACTGATATGTAAAATTAAATTAATTATAAAATAAAAGTATATATAAAAAAGTCAAGAAAATGTGCTATTCAGTCCTTTGCAGGAATAAACCTGTTATGGTGGTACATGCCTGTCATCTTAGCTTTCTACAGGCAGGATGATGAGAATTTCAAGGTTATTCTTGGGATACATGTTGAGTTTTAAGGCCTACCTGTGATACACAGTATTTTGCTTCAAAAAACATTTTTAAAAAAGATAGCACACATTGATAATACATAATGTCCTTTTTGCAGCTCAGGAAGGAATGAAAAAGTCATTTCACCTCAAGTACAATACAAGGATGTTTCTGAATGTCTGCCTAAAATGTACATAAGGCACAAATTAAGATAAATAATCATCTTAAATAATTTTGTGAAATATAGCTGAACAGAAATGACTACTAAGAGCTCTGGAAATTGTGTAATGGCAAAGTGTTTTTGATAAAAGCATGAGGACCTGAGTTTGGATCACAAGCATTACTTCAAAGGTGGTATATATCTGTAATCCCAGTGTTGCAAGTGGGGTAGGAGAATTCTAGCAGTTCATTGGTAGCCAGCTTAGCTGAATCGATGAGGTTACAGTTCAGTGAGAGACCCTGTATAACCCCACCCAAAGAAATGAAGGATAGATGTCAACCTCTGGCTTACAATCATGCTAACCCTCACACACAATTCCGTACATACACAAACAATACACACACACACACACACACACACACACACACACACACACACACACACACGACTATTGCAATATAATTAACAATTGTAATAAGTCAAAATAAATTTATGATTGTAAAGTTATCACTAAATGCAAAGCCAGGACACTTGATTTTATTCATTCTCGTATCTCAACTTTATCTTCAGCCTGAGATCTTTCAGATCCTTTATGTGCTTGAAATTAAATTCCTAATCTAGATTGTACTGATTTTTCCAATCTCTCTTCTTATTGATGCCCTTGCTGTTTCCCTTACAATAGTAAAAGTGAGTTGAATGTTATAGTTGAAGCTTTCTTATTAATTACATAAGAAAATCATTAAAAAAATTTCAGTGCTTGGCAGGTGGAGATAATGCTTCAATATGGAGACTACAAGTTAAACATTCACTTAATCTGCCTAGTCTATTAATCCCTACGTATTTCTAGAGCACTTTTTCTATCATAACATTTACTCATACCTAAAAACAGTATTCTTCCTCATCAAAAGTAATGAGTATTTTAAAATAATTTTCCTTCTCAAATTGGTTCCTGGGAATTTGTTTAGGCTGTAACCAGAGGAAGGAAATATGATATAAAATCAACCTATTTCAGAGTCTGTATGTGAAAATGAATGCAAATAAAATGAACATGTTTTTTCAATGTGAAATATACGATCTCTTTTGGGTTAATCAGCCATCTGTGGAAATGTCTGATAAAGGTATTTGAATTACTTTTTAAATGATAAACAGATGTAAAGTCCTCTGTTATTGTTCAAGTTAGGTTAGGTGGTGATACAAAAAGAAAGGACCCAACATCTAAGTGACTGAACACATAACAATTTATTTATTATTCTTAAAAAGTTCATGGCAACTTCATCAGTTTTCCAGGACAAAACCTTTCTAAAATGTGACATAAAGATACAGCTTGCATCATTCTTGCAGGTTGGCCTTTGCTTTCCAGTTATGATGGAATGTAGAGAGACAGCTGAAGTGTCATGCAGGAGTTGTTTCTGCTCAAGGATAGAAATGGCACATCACTTCTGTTTTCAAGTCCTCTGTTGTAAGTAGTTAAATGGGATCCCCTAACTACAAAGAGCAGGGAAGTGAATGGGAGCACAGAGCTATAGGATGAATTGTAAATGTTTTTGACATATTCTACAAATAATATAACTTTTAAAAACATTTAATGAATACTCTTGAAAAAACTCTATATGGATACAAAATACCCCTTAAATGCAATAGTTTTATCAGCAATATACATATAGATATATTTTAAGAAACAGTTGTATTTATGAAACTCCAAGGTGATCTAGTATGGCATTACTACATTACTCCAAGAACAATATTGAGAGAGTCTAATATTACCCCTGCGACATCCTTCAGAGGTATCAAGTCATTTATCTACTAGATCTTTTATATAATTTTGCTTTTGATTCAAAGAATCTGAGGTTAAATCACCTGTCTGAATGAAAGAAACACTGAGCCTCTCTCATCATGCCAAAATACTTTGTACATTATTAGTGTATCTACTGCAATAGGTGTTTTTGAAACATAAGCTTATAATTTATGCTACTCTGATATAGAAATGTAAAGTAAAAATATTTTTCAACACATTTTTAATATTACTGGTGAACACAAATCAGCAACAGACACAAGGCACCGGATCTTAGTAATATGTGGACACAGGAAGATAAATGATGTCATTATTACCTAAATTTAACTTTCATTATACTTCAGTACTAATGTTTAGGACAAGAAACTTTTAATGAACATACTAATATTTTGGCAGTAGTTTATGTAACAAGACACAGAGCATACTAGAAGTCTGGCCCTCAACTTGCTTATTAGTAAACCAGCATCAATATGAAGGCATTACAATTTTTTAAAGACCTTCTTTTTACATGCTAAATATTTTGGCAAATGTGAAATTTAAATGCACTAATGAGATGAAATTAATACCCAAAATTTAAGATATGAAAAACTTGAACTTTATATCTTCACCATAAAAATTATATTTAAAAGGATCAACACTCATCATAAAGAATATCACTGGATAATTAAAATGGCAATATAAAGTGTGCAAAATTCATGTTTATGAATAAAAACAAAGAAACAAAACCAGGGACAGTTTAAAATGATTCTCCTTCAAATAATAACAGTGAATTCAAATTATGTAGTAATCAAATGTTAAATAGCATTTAGTACTAGAGAGTGAATAGTGCTGAAATGGAGGTAAATGTCATAGCTTTGGGGGCTTTATGCTGTAAACTGCTTCCTTGTTCTTTTGATACAGTACACAACAACATTCTACAATTTCAGTATGTAAGAAATAAATGGTTGCTGCACTGGCAAAAACAGGATGTGTAAGGATTAAAGGCACACTATTCAGCTAACCAGAGTAGCAAACACACCCCCCTCCCACTCCCTGACGTGAACCCTTCCCCAATGTAAACAAAAACGTCTTGAAAGAAAATGCAACACCAACTAAACATAGCTAAAAAACAAATTTTTGAATAATAATGCTGTCATATCTTCAAAATGTCAACTGTAATTGTCACCATGTTTCTGACTGTATTTTAAAGATATGTAAAAATTACATACATTTAACGTTAGATATATTTTTGGTCAAAATTATTCATTACCCAAAACATTTTAATTGAACTCCAAACATTTTAACATTAGTATGACAACTGAATTTTGGTTCCCAGAAGAGTACCTATTAGGCATAATGACAGACATTAAACAAACAAAACTCTCTATATAAACTGCAGGCAACGAATACAGCCTTTTCTGGCACAGTGGCATTATACTGGCAACTTAGAGTTCAGAATAACTTTATTAACACAGAGAATCTCATGCATTTTGGTAAATATAACCTAGCTTTTCACAGTTGAAGTTTCCTTTAGATTTTGCTTCATTTTAAATATGGGAAGCCTGTTTGGTTTTCCTGTCTGTTACACTGACTTGTGACTTGAACTAGACTTCTTCTTCTTTTTCTTACTGTGTTTCTTGTGATGTTTCTTCTTTTTCTTCTTTTTCACCTTTTCCATTTCTCTTTCCTGCTCATCGTATTTTCTTTTCTTTTTTGCCTGCACCTCCTCTTCATAATCTGATTCGAATGAGGATTCTGAAGAGGATGGCTTTTCCTCAGGACAAGTCTTCTTTCTTTTCTTGCTGTAGCTTTTGGTATATTTTTCTTTTTCGGTTTCATCCTTTGCTTTTTTCTTCTTTGGGGCAAGCTCCTTGCTTGGCGATTCTGATTCAGAGGTGGAGTTTTCAGATGATTTGTGGGAACGGTTCTTCTTTTTCTTTCTCTTTTTCCCTTGTTTCTTGGGCTCATCCTCAGAATCTGAAGAACTGCTTGACGAATCAGAGCTTGATGAAGAGGATGTATACCGACAAGATTTTTTCTTTTTCTTTTTCTTTTTATCTTTTCTTTTGGATGAACTGACATTTCCACCTAATACTTTCTCTCTGCTTTTCTCAAGCTCCTTTTTCCAATTTTCATTCATTTTTTCTTCAAATTCAGCCAATGCCTTGGAGCCTTTCTTTTTATTCTCTAATTGTTTCTTTACTTCTTCCCAGGTAGGCCTTGGTCGATTCAGATAATCTTGAATAGTTGGGCCTGTAGACTGGCTTGCACTCCTCCATCTGGCCAGTGCTATAGGATTCATATATGCCACGCGGTTATCACGTTTCCCCATGGTATGCCAGGTGGTTCTCAGAGTAGACTACCAGTTGCCAAGGGGAAGAAGGTTAGGCACACTCCTCAAGATCTTCATCTGCTAGTTTACCAAGTAGTCTCCATTCTGTGATAGAAGCAGATCAAAGAATTACCAAACACCTTTAAGACAAAATAATATATGTCTAACTGTTCATTTAATCAATAACCATTATGGAAGAGGAGGGGGAAAGTTTTATAAATGAAAGGTAGGACTGGATTAGAGCAAACCAGCATTTTCTGAACATGCAAAGATTGCTGCACTCATGAAGTCATAGTAGCTCCTGGACAAGATCAAGCAGTCAACATTCTTGAACAGAGCTGGGAAGAGCTCCGAGCTTTACCTCTAATAGAGGAGCTATTGAATTGATGGATTCGAGGGAGGAACAGCCAGTTTTTTAAGGGTGTGGCTCCTGGTAAGATGACCATGCTCTAGTGGTGACTCCATACCCATGAGTACTTGAGCAGCACAAATTAAGATTGATAGTATTAGTTTAAAAAGAAAACTCAAAGTTTGGGGGTAGAGGATGGAAGAGTAGATCTGTGAGAAATTAAGAGGGGGTAAATATGATCAAATTACACTGTATGAAGTTCTCCAAGTATTAAAATATTATATTTAAAAAATTCAAAAATGTTACATTTTAGGAAAAAACTATATATCAATTTATTTTGCATAGCAAGACACTATTCTATGAATTGTTATAAAATTAAACACATTTTATATATTTCATGTAAGAGACTGACAGGTACCAGACGTGTTTAATAACCATTTTCTTTTACATAGCATTTTACATACCATCTTTTCTTTTCTTTCATTATTGCCTTACATGGTACAAACAGGAAAATTTACAACTAAAATATACCAGGCAGATAGATATTCTTTAACCTAGGTAAGTACAGAAAAATCTACTCCACTTCTTTTGACAGAAACCCAGGTGTCCACAGAGAAACCCTGTCTCGGAGGAAAAAAAGAAAAAAAAAAAAAGAAACCCAGGTGTCATACCTGGGAGGTCCTTATTTCTCATCTCTCATGTCCAAACCATTACTAGATTGGGCTGTTTAAACCTTCATGATAGTTTTCATTCTGTTCCCTTCTTTCCAAATGTGTTGTGCTCAGCTTTGTCCAGGCCACTATTACTTCCCATTTGATTTCAATCTTTAGTATTTATTAAATATTTATAACCATAGACTTCTTTAATCACTACAATGAATTATCGCATTCTTTTTTTTTTTTTTTTTTTTTTTTTTTTTTGGTTTTTCGAGACAGGGTTTCTCTGTGTAGCTTTGCGCCTTTCCTGGAACTGACTTGGTAGTCCAGGCTGGCCTTGAACTCACAGAGATCCGCCTGGCTCTGCCTCCCGAGTGCTGGGATTAAAGGCGTGCGCCACCACCGCCCGGCGAATTATCGCATTCTTATCTCAGCCTAAGACTATGAAAAATTGAGCCTGTTATTATACCCATTTAACAGATAAACTAAGGCTTAGAAAATTTGGGTATAACTTTCATGAAGAAACAGAGCTAAAATTAAGGCATAAATAGGACTTAAATCAAAGCTGCTTTATTTTCAACCCCTGAGCACATAACACATTGTATTTCTCCGTCATGACTACTTTTAAATTAGTTGCCTTATTTTACTTCCTATCTTCCATTACAGGCTCACAGTAATCTGAGAGATCATGAAAAAAATCTAGAAGCTTTACATTTTATGAGAATTCAATAAAATTGTTATAAGTGTATTATTTGAAATACCGTGTTTCTCACTCTTACTTTAATCTAGTCACTAACTCTTGTTCCCAGTTCTCTTGGTTCATGAAATATGCCAATTTCCAAGCTTGAGCATTACAGTTGAATTCATACATCCTTCAAGTTTCAGTTTAAGTATCAGTTCCTCAGTAAGAAAAACTGTAGAATGAATTATATAACATCTCCAAAGTTATAAGACACACTGTTATAACACCAACAATATTATATAACTCAATCTTATAATGAAGTAACTTGCCCCGCCTCCCCTTCATCCTCTTTTTCAACATGTCAGCACCTTTTCCTTAATTTATGGGACATGTTAAATCAATAGTCATTTTTTTTTGTGCATGTGTGTGGACTTCTAAACATACGGCCAAAAGGGATACAGAACATGTTTGACTTTTCATATTTCTCATGGTGTTCCCATGAGAATGGGAATATAACAACATAATCTGGCCTATACTAAATACTCAAAATATTTGCTCATTTATAAATACAAGAATTGATACATGGATTGACTATGAGAAAGGAACATTCAGAAGGAGATTCCCAGAGGCAGTCTTTTTTATTTATTTATTTTGAGACAGTTTTTCTTTATGTAGTCCTTGGTGGCCTAGAAATCCCAATGTCAAACAGATTTGCCTGAAACTCATAGAAGTCTGTCTGCCACTGCCTCAGAAGTGCTGGGATCAAAAGTGTGTGCCACCATGCTTAATCAGTGTTAGTTATTTTTTGTACAGAAATCTGGAGAATAAACAAATTCACCTTGGAAATGAAGTAATCAAGGACATGTCAAAAAGGGGAAACAGTATGTGAAAAACCACTGGGATTACAAAGCATACCATGCAATTACTGATGGCATAGGCTAAAGAGAAGATGGTACGAGGTGCGGGGAGGTATGGCTTCATAGGCAGTTAGAAGCTGAGGAGGCCCTTCTGACTCTCAAAATTCTTTGTTCTGTAGTTGCTAAGAAACCAGTGCAACCTTTTAAGCAGAAGATAATATAGATTTTTCTGTTGGTCACTATCTTTACTTCTGACCTGTTAAATCAACCTATAATACCTACCTATCACAATATGAACTGTAAAGACATGTCAGTGACTAGGTGATAGTTTCCTGTGTTTTATTTACTGTGTTCTTAGTCTTATTTTTATCCCACTCTGTTATGTCCAGCTCCTATCAGGTATTCTGTCGTTTTCATGCTTACTTCTACCCCAAAGACCTGTCCAACCTTATTTTCCTTCTGATATGAACACCAGAAGCCCATGAGTACTTTAGTTTATATTGGATTTAATGGTTCATTATGTTACTCTATGCATACAATAACAAAATCTATTCTAATTTTCACTCCTTTAGCTTTAGTTCTGACATCAGTTAGAAAATCAGTGTAAGGTCAGTTCAAAAAGGATGTGGACCTATGCTAAGGAGGTTAAGGTTAAGTTTATCTAGGGATACATACATTTAGGTAAGTTAACGGTTAGATGCTATTTTAAGCAAGAAAGTGGCATGTTCATATATGTGAGTGTTTAAGAGACCATTTTTTTTTTTACAGAATGAATGATGGGTTGAAATCAGGAAAAATTTAAGGCAATGAAAATATTTATGCAGTCATGTAATTGGGAATGAAATACTTTAAATAAAAATAATGATGCTATGAATTGTTGAAATGGCAAAATGCATGTAAATTATTTGAATATTTTCATACGGAATTAGTGGACAATTACATATAAGGGACAGAGAAGAGAAAAGAATTAAGGTGAGACTCCAGTTTGAGATACTACATAAAAGTAATAGCATTTATGAGGTAACATAAGAAATGAAATAGTGCAAAGGCTCAAGGCTCCATTTTAGACTTATGCTATCTGAAGTACTCCTAGATACCTAAATTAATTCATATGTAGAATATTGGATATATGAATATTGAACTCTGAAAATGAACTGAGTTAGAAGTATAGTATCAGCAATCAGTCAGTAGTGGCAGAGGCCATGAGAGAAAATTTAAGTATACTTTTCAGGAATATTTCAAAGTAAATTTTATAAGATTGAGTCTTAGAGTTGGCAAGATAAGGATTGGCAGAGAAAGAAAAGCCTATAAAGACTACTCTATAATATTAGCCAGACTATAAGAGCTAGACAAGAAAAAGAAAACAATGTAAGTGTCTTAGGGTTTCTATTGCTGTGAAGAGACAGCATAACCACTGCAACTCTTACAATGAAAAACTTTTAATTGTGTGGCTCACTTACAGTTCAGAGGTTTAGTCCATTATCATCATGACAGGAAGCAAGGTAGCATGCATGTAGACATGGTGCTAGAGCTGAGAGTCAATACATCTTGATCCAAAGGCAACAGAAAGCAAACTGTCTCACTGGGCATGGCTTGAGCACATATAAGCCCTCAAAGTCTACCTCCACAATGATAAACTTCTTCCAAGACCACACCTACTCCAATAGTGCCACACTTCCTAACAGTGCCTCTCTCTTTGGGGGCCATTTTCTTTCAAAACACCACAATCTACTCCCTGGTCCCCAAAGGCTTGTAGCTATATCATAATGCAAAAAAAAAAAAATGTATTCAGTCCAACTTCAAAAGTACTCATTCTATAACAATCTCAAACTTATTTAAAAATCAAAAGTTCAATTTCTCTTCTGAGATTCATGCAATCTCTTAACTGTAATCCTCTGTAAAATCAAAATCAAAAGGCAGATCACATGCTTCCAACATATAATGGCACCAGATATACATTACCATTCCAAAACATAGGGAAGGAAGCATAGTGAGGAAATACTGGATCAAAGCAAGACCTAAAATAAGATGGGCAAATTCCAAACTCTGCATCTCCATGTCTGGTGTCAAAATGCTCTTCAGATCTCTCCTTTCAGCTTTGTTGACTGCAACATACTTCTTTCTCGGGCTGATTCCACTCCCTGTTATCAGCTTTCCTTGGCAGGCATCACATAGCTCTGGCACCTCCAACATCTTGGGGTCTCCAAGGAAATCCAGGCTTCACCTTCACAGCTTCATGCAATGCCCTCTTTAGGCCTCCATTCAGGGTCATATCTGACACATGCCTGGCCTCAGCCATGTTCCTTAGTGATGGAGGAGGGTTCCATAATACCTTTCTTCTATTCTTGAAGCCAGAACCACGTGGCCAAAGCTGCCAAGTTCTGCTGCTCACTGGGACTGGTACATGGCCCCCCTCGTTCAATTACATCTTCAACAGCTTTCTGTTTCCGATAGTTTCCTTCACTGCCTAAACTTGACTGTCCTGAAACTGGATCTGTACACCAGATTGGCCTTGAACTCAGAGATTTTTTTAATTATAACTTCATCAGTTTTCTGTTTTC